CCCTCAAGAAGCCTATGGACTGTATGCAGGAGCGATTTTAATATCCTAAATATCTTAATTTGTGTTCCGAAGATGAACGAAGGTCTTACGGGGTTGGAACAACATGAGGGTGAGTAAATACTGACAGAATTTTCATTTTTGGGTGAACTAACCCTTTAAGTGAAATTAATGAAATAAAATATACAAGTTTGATAAAAATCATCATTAAAGAAGAAAATTTCAAATGGCATTTAGAGGCTTTTGCATCTGAACTCTTCATATATATACAGTATATATATACATACACACACATGCATGTATATTTTAAGAAAATAATATTATTTATATATAAAATATTTATATTTATATATAATATAAATTATGTATAAATCTATAAAGTATATACATGAAAATATTTCTTAAATATATACAAGCATGTGTGTGTATTTAGGATGCGATTAATCGATTAATCTGACTTTGATATTATTTCATTAGAGTTAAAAGGAATAGTCAAACTTTCGCTTATATATATTGATACACAGATATCATTAAAAAACCTTTTCATTTGTGGAGTCAGATGAAATAACGAGAAAATACATATGAGAAATGTATTGAAAGTAATCAAAAATACTTTGCCATTAGAAAAGACAATAACACGCACGCAGAGACCTTCGCCTTCTGACCGGATGCCTCCACGGGGCCGATCGAGCCGGGCTTTACAGATAGATAGATAGATCCTGTCATTGCAATTCAACTTCCTGTTGATGTTTATATTCTCTTAAAAATGCAGCATGGTCGTACACGTTTAATCAGAACACACATTAAAACTGGGTCAGCTAATTTAACTGGCGTAATTTCCTGAGAACAATCAGCCCCTCGTGCACAATGGAAGTATAATTAAAAAGAACACAAACAACGCTGCGTTAATCAAGGCTGATCTCAGCGCGTGCACAGCCACGGATGTCCCAGCATTCCAAGGAGGCGATGTGTTTAATCACTTTTAGCAAGAATCGGGAGCACTATCCAGACAGACACCTAGCACCAGAAGTGCTCCAAAAACGCTGAGGTGCATGTTCTCTCCAGATGTTTCCTGTAGTCTGAGCTCAGGGCAGAGGCTACGCCAGGTGTTTGGGTTTAAACACGTATCTAATGGGCCTCATCAGTAACATCAGTCAGGACGTGAGCACAGAAACAAAGCATCAAGACCTTGTTCTTTGGCACCGGTGGCCACAGCAGCTGACAATCTGGGCCCGTGGATGACGAACAGTAGCTGAGGTGAGCCATGCTGTCCTGTGGGCTGATGGGGAAGGATGGAGCTGTATAGTGAGGAAATCCTGTCCTGTCTTATTATTTCCCTCAAGACTATTGTTCTAGTGTGATACTGAATCCAATCCAACCAACCACTCATTTCACATTATTAATCTTTCAAAAGCTTTCTAAACTGTTGTCAGTGATTTTGTCATCGCTTGAACTGAATATTTGACTTTATTCAAAAATGCTCATTATTCCTTGAGACGGCCATTGCTCTTCGATGACTTTGAATTCGTTTATTTTACTTTTATAAAAGACCTTAAACATAGATTGACATTATCATTACATTATCATTACAGTAACACGCAATTGTATGTGAAAACCTGCATTGTGTAAAAAAATGTGTTCAAGATTTGTAATCACAACATGTTTTCTTTTGTCAAATCAACCTGTGGTTCAGAGAACATAATATTTTGAGTTTCTGATGATTAAAGGATAATTCCGGTATTTAACACCTAGAGTCTATTTTGTAGCTTGTTTTGAATGAAATAGAGTGGTGGACTTAGAAATTTTGACAATGGGTCCTGTCTCGACTTTTTTAGAATCGCCTGTGACAGCGTTAGACTGGCTGTCTATGGGCATGCACAAACATGTCCATAAAACAACCCTTAACGTTCATTTTCAAAACTGTGCAACTCACCGAGTGGTTGGTGGTGTTCGTTGATTAAAAACAAATATATCGGCGCTATGTATGCTTTCAATCCGTGTTGTTTGCTATTGTGGAACTATTTATTCAGATACCTCACAACCGCATATAAACTTACGCTCGATATTTGAGTCTGAAGCGTTAGCACACTCCCGACCACTTGATGGCGACAATCAGGACGCTGTACGGAACACGGTGTCTAGCGCACCGTAAAAAAAGTCAGGGAGCAGAGTTGCCCTGCTCACGCTAGCCTTCTCTGGTTAGCTCATGCTAACTGGAGAACCGAGCGAAAAGACTACAACCAAATGTAAACAGACCCCTTTCCTTTTCCGGTAGCTAGCTCAGTAATATCAACGAGCACTGAGTCATCCAGCAGACATCAATGCGATTTTTAAAAATAACAAAACACGACAGAAATGGTATTTCGCTACGCTACTTGTTTCAGAACATCAACGAACACCACCAACCACTCGGTGAGTTGCACAGTTTTGAAAATTAACGTTTGAAAATTAAGGGTCGTTTTATGGACATGTTTGTGCATGCCCATAGACAGCCAGTCTAAAACTGTCACAGGCGATTCTAAAAAAGTCAAAAAGTCGAGACAGGACCCATTGTCAAAATTTCTAAGTCCACCACTCCATTTCATTCAAAACAAACTACAAAATAGACTCAACCCAGATAGCAAACTGACAATGAATCAACGTGGAAACATGACATCGAAACAACGTTGATCTGACATTGTTTTGCTCATCGAATTAACGTTGAACCAACGTCAGACGCGTCATTCTTTCAAAGCTAACGGAAAATCAACTTGAAATCAACGTTGTTTCAACGTTATGATAGCAAACCAATTTTCGATTTTCATTTAGCTTTGAAGAATGCCGCGTCTGACGTTGGTTCAACTTTAATTCGATGAGCAAAATCAACGTTGTTTCAATGTCATGAGAGACGTCGTTTCCACGTTGATTCAATGTCAGTTTGCTGTCTGGGAAGGTGTTAAATACCAGAATTATCCTTTAAATCATATCAAATACAGTATAAACTGGGTGAACGTATAGGCTATTTCTGTAGCCAACTAAAATTAACCAAACTGTATGCTATATAGCCTAGTAAACGGTTAAACAATGAGCTTGTGAAATGTGAAAGCTTCAAGGTGATTTATGCCAATGGGAGTTTTGTTTATATTCAAAATTGCACATTGGAATAATCAAATGCCAAACTTTAAGAGTCATGAAGAACTTAAAATACCCCACCCATCTATCATGATTTGCTAGTTTATAAACCTGCTATTTTACTAAATGGATTATACAGTGTGTTCCTCAAGTGCAGTAATGAAGTTTATATCCAGGTCCATTACCACCAGGAAGCAGGTATGATTGTAGCTTGCTACATTAATGTTGTCATTACTGAAGGAAATGTGACTCAAGTACTTCCTATAAAGCAGTCTTGCTCAAGCATGACCATAGTTTCAACCTATTTGCTGGAAATTACTCAGTTCTTCTTTCTGGTCCCATCACAAGGATGAACATTCAACTCATCTGACTCACTGTTTCCTTCAAATTTCCTGAGAAATTTTCTTAGTCAAGCTTGAGTCGACAACTTTTAAGATTGCGGTAAATGGGAGTTAGATTTCCTAAAAATGAGATGCTGACTATTAGATTTCTTTAGTTTTCTTTTTTCTAATTTCTTGATTGTAAAGACCTACTTTTGGTGTTTGTACTTACATTAAATGTATTAACACAATTGTATTCATTCTATTTTCTACTTAAAATGGATTTTGGAGTTTTTATTATTAATATTTAAACATTTCTGTTCATTTCCATATATTTCTGAACTAATGTTACTATTTTACTTTGTGTAGAAATATTCACTGCCAGCTTTCAGTTTGAATTGGGCTTCACGTGAACAGAAAGAAACGTTTGGCGCCCACCCATCTTGCTTCAATTGTTCGACGTGAGAAGACAAACAAAGAAACAGCTTGTACAGAACAATAAACGTTTCCTGCAATGTACCGGGCATCTTTACCAAGGTGGTGCAAAGCCGCTCGAGCAGCTTTAATGAGCTATTGTATGGATGCTTAACAGAAACCCTATGTGTTCCTGAGATGTCAGTTTCCCAAGCAAAGTTATTGTGAGCCCCAGTTGTTGCTGTCCATTGGAGGAAGCATTCAGAAAGCGTCCATGCCCATCCTGTGGTACGCTCTGTTTCTTGGAGCACTTTGAGACGAAAGCGTCACTGCAACTGGCACAAATCCATATGTTTTGTGTGGTGCTTATGTAATCTTCACTGCCACCAGGTTACATAATGTCCAATACGAGATGCTGGATCACAGGACACAAATAAATAAGAACGCTGGTTACTTTTCCAAGTGATCAGACTTTTCACTTGTTAAAGTGCAACGATATTTTGAAAAAAGGTCAATTTGTCTCAATAACAATAAATTTGTCTTTCAATAAAATAAAACGAGTGACAAAATAAACATAAGATCTGTTCACACCAAAGAACGAGCTTGAGCTCTTTAAAGAAGGATGGATTCTGATTGGCTGTCAATGATTTTATCGTTCCGAAAAATCGTTCTGAAAGTGATACCAATGATATTTTTTCTCTTTGCCTCTATTATTAAAGGCCCAGGCACATCAAGGACAATAACGATAACATCAAGTTGGAACGATATAGTTGGAATCAATTTTTACAACGATTTTTTCAAGCTGATGAATGATTAAAAACATTGACAATCAGAATCCATCCTGATTTAAAAAAAGTCACGCATTTAAAGACGATAAACTGCAGCACAAGCTTATAATAAACATAACAGTATAGTATGTTAGGGTCAGCCGCGTCGTTAGACATGGGCATTCGGGGCTTCAGCCCCGGATGTTTTTTTATAGCCCCGGATCCCCCAAAAAAAAAAAAAAAAAAAAAAAATTGATGGCCTAATTATTATTGAATTTTAATAATTTTGGATTTGTTTAAAAAAATACCGGGTAATTTAATCTATCCTTCGGAATCATGTGTTAAAGACGACTAAAATATTGCAGATCAAGCTATGGTTATATGGTCACACAACACGCAGAGCAGAGAGAAAGAGGTTTACAAAACTTTATTTAAAACATTTATTCAACTATTAACATATTTGTATCTATGAAAAAAAAAAAAAAACACATTAAAATTCCAAAACCAGATTTCCATCGTAAACAACACACAAAGCATCAACACACCACAGATCACTGAAACCCTTCTCATTATTTACAAGACTATAGTATGCAAATTATATTTTTAGTCTACCAGCCACTAATTTCATAAACATCATTTCAACATTAATACTATTAAGCTGCAATCCTTGATTTTTCCTGGTTTTCCATATTGCCAATTTCACAGTTCCTGTTAAATAATTTAACAGACACATATTCCTTCTTTTTGAAAAATTATATTTCACACCCCCTATAAAAATTTCTGAGAAATCTTCACCAAAAACTTGAAACAATCTATTAAGGTTCTGGGTGCTTGCTGGTCCACAATCATCACAACTTCACCAATTTGAAGGTTGTCTAATTCTCTTTGTCATTTGTGTCGTCGTTGCAAGTCGGGGAGGTAATGCCGTATGAAACATTTACAGAAATTTTCAATTAGAATCTGGCTATACGCCATCTCCTACGACTGAGCATTTGCCATTCTGGATAAACAACTTGTGGTAATCCAGAAGATGGACATCCCACGAGGAGGGAATTATGTGCCACTGGGTCTATATCTGCTATGACTAAGGAAACATCCCAATGGTCTGGAGTTCAATATTCCCTCCATTTCCACAAGTACCGTGTTCAGTACTTCCTTTGGTACAGATTGAGAACCGAGAGAGGTACGCAGTGCATCTCTCTCCCAAGATCCACCAAAACGCGGTGCATTTGGTGGGTTTAGACGGAAGTTAATCTGCTGAGAAGTCAGATTCTCTTTCAAGATTGGGTGGAGTGCATTGAAGGCATTCTGAAGTTCTGCAATACCTCCTTTGGAATTTGTGCCGTCATCAGAAAGCACTTCATATGGTTTCCCTCTGCAAGCTATGAACCTTCTTAACGACATGAGAAAGGAGTCTGTGTCAATGCTCGATAGAAGCTCAATATGAACAGCTTTGGTAGTAAGGCACTTGTACAGTATTCCCCAACGTTTTTCCAAACTTAACCTGGAAGGGTCCAAAACAGTCAATGCCCATTGAATAGAAAGCTAGATGAAACAACAAAAGGTTAGACTGAGGGAAATCCACCATCATAGGAATTTCTGGCTTCCCTCGCCATTTCTTACATTCAAAGCAGCTGTGCTGGTGTCTTTTTACTGCCTCTCACGATCCAATATTTTCATCTCAGTTCTGCGAACACACGCTCAGGTCCTGGATGTAACAGGAGGTTGTCGTGATGTTGAATCAGAAGCTTTACAAGAGGGTGAGCAGGATCTAAGACAATATGGTGTAGAGTGTCTGAGTCCAAGTGCTTACATCTGCGGAGGCGTCCACCTACTCTGACTAATTTGGCTTTGTGATCATACTCTGGGGCTAGAGTTGGAAGACGACTAGAGTGAGATACAGGTTTACCTAACTGGAGTGGGGCTATTTCTTCTGGGAAGCTTTCAACTTCAGCACATCTCAGAAGTTCCTGTTCAGCTTGAGTATAGTCGTCAGCAGAGAGTTCACTTTCGTCTGACGCCCCATGAAGGGAAACAGCAGTAGCCTTAATCAGATCTTGAAGTGAATTGTATTGAGAGATATCTGGGATATCAGTTTGACTGGATAGCGCTCCACAGAAAGTACAACTGCGGTGTTCTTGGATGTCATCGCTTACAACATCATGAGGCTGTTTGGGCCAACTAACTGACTGGGTTAAGAACTGTGGATCTTGATTCCATCGGCTTTTATCGGTCTCCTCTGGTGTCAGCTTTGAGATAGAGCCTCCCTTTTCAAGTTTGTGCACTTCTTTAACATACACTGAAGCAAGATCTGTGTTCTGCAAAAGGCGTTTTTCTGTGCTTCTTAAATGGGCTGTTACCGCTTCTTTAGCTGATTGCAAAGGTGGAAGATTTATTTTCCAGAGTAGAGGTGTTGCATACCTTTGAATGTCTCCAACTGCCACCCTGATTGTTTTCTCCTCAAGGATTTGCACCGCTTCTGTGTCTTGCCTTCTGTGTCTCACTCCTATACGGAAGTGTGTCCATTTTGCCACAATTTCTGTACATTGTTGAACAGTTCGGCTTCTGCTGACAAAGTGGAGGTTAATAGACACTGTTGTGGTAAGAGATGACTTTTGAGGGGCCCTGCAGAGTCCACCCGAGTCTGGTTCACAGCAGCAGGACCGCCAGGAGTTCCGAGAGGTACTGGCTCCGTAGCTGTGATTAAATGTGGATAATCTGAGCCAATGAGTAAGAGTGGTTGAGCCTGCTGTATTGAGGGAATGGGCAGACCTTGTAGATATCTGTATTTCTTCTGCAGCAACTTAACAGGGTAAGTGTGTTTTGCGAGGCTCAGTTCTTTGGCTGTAAAAGCTCTTTCAATGGTGAAGGATTTGTTTGGCTGAAATGCAGAAGCTACTGAGAATGAAACAGCCGCCCCAGTTCTTTGGCTGTAAAAGCGCTTTCAATGGTGAAGGATTTGTTTGGCTGAAATGCAGAAGCTATTGAACAACCCGTGACAGAAGCCCCATGAACAACCCGTATGTCTTGTCTCACAGTACGGAGGGCTATATCTTCAGGAAATCTTTGAAGATCAAGTTGCTCTGCTGCTTCATACAGTAACATTGTCCTCTCTGATCCATCATCCAACATAGCGTATGTGTCAAGTTCCTTCTCTCCATTTCTCAAGATCACTCGGCTGACCTTCAAAAGAACTTTGCTGCCTGCAGTTGGTCTGTCCATATACAAAGTCTCTACTTCCGAGTTCACAAGACAACTGTTTTCTGCTGAAGCTTGTGTTTCACATTTACCTTTGGCATCTACAGTAAGTCATGCAGTATTTCTAAATGTCTCTTTTCTCATTTTTTGCATTTGGCTTTAAGATTACATTGTGGGATCTGGTGATCACAGCCACACCTAAAGCACTTCTGATTTGACTTCAGCCAAGACTCCACTTGATCCAGCAGTTTGAAATTAGCGCACTGATTGAAGTAATGCTGCACAGTGTTACAGAAGGGGCAGTACTTTGTCGGTTTCTCCTTCTTGACTGCTGAAACACTTGCTGGTTTACTCTGTTCGCCACCATGCAAGACAGTAGCAAATCGTTGAACCGGCTTGCAATTCCTTTGCTGTTCTCTAACTTGTACAGTATGAGTAACGTACTGTGACTCATCCTCTTGTATTCTGAGCTCATATTCTAGCCAATTGCTGAGTTCTATCAGTGTTGGAACTGGGTTCTGAATGGGGTTAACAAACCCTCTGAAGTTTGCTTTAAGATCATGAGGCAATTTGGCATGGAGACGTGAAACACGTGACCCACATTTGAGCTCTGTCCATCCTTTAGCTCCAAATTGGTCCAGCATTCCAACTAATGCATGCACTTTGAGGGCAAACAATCTAAAAGATTTAGTGTCACCACTCCTGATTTTTGGGCCATCCATCAATTCTGCAATTCTTTGTAGTGCGAGTTGATGTGGTTGACCATAAAGTACCGTTAGAGACCTCATGGTGTTGGCGTATGGGTACCTGCTGTTGACGTACGAGTCTGCAATGAGCAAATCATTCTCCTGTTTCAGATGATCGAGTATTTGGTACTTGAAACGTTCTGTAGCCTCGGCAGGTAGCAAATTCTCCAGTGAAATTGAGTCGTGCAAACTGTCTGGGATCTTCACTGCAAAAATGAGGAATGGTGGGAATAGGACCTCTGTAGGTGGGCTCTACATGAGGATATGGAAGAGAAGGAGGGCGCACTGGGTGGTATGGCTGATGCGTCTCAGGCTGAGCGTAATCTGCGTACTGTTGTGGGGTCAAGAAGCTTGGTTTGTCCACAGGATTAGGAGCTGATTGACCATAGCTGTCTGAGTGTCTCTCATATGGATGTCTCTCATGTGCATGGTGAGCTAATGTATCCCTTGGAGTAAGTCTCATCTTGATAGACTGGACTTGTAGCTGTAATCCCATGATAAGGTTGCTGAAAACCATATGGATCAGTGGAAGGGAAATAGCAGACAGGTTTGCAGTTCAGACTATGATTTTTATAAGTCCCATACGTAGCTGCTGTCTCTTGACTGTAGTCCTGAGGCATAAATTGAACAGCTGCAGGATATTGGTTGCAATCTCTTTGGTCAGTGGACATATAGTTATGGCCTCTGTGGTCTGTGTTGTAGTAACCACGCAGCCCATCTATGTGCCTAATACCAGGTTGAGGATATGTAGCATCTTCTTGGTGGGCTAGCTTGTGTTGGGATTGAGTTGGTTCATAAGAAGAGAAAGGATGACTTGAAGTTAGCAGAGTTGCCGAGCCTGGTAGTCTCAAGTCTCCTAGGTTGTCAGTGAGATTAATCTCTTTGTGACTGACAGAATGAGAATGCAGTAGGTCACCTCATGAATCTACAGGCAGTGCTCTCATGGGCTGAGAAGGATCATCTCTCTAGGCAGCTGCAGCTGGCTGCTGTATATGGACTTGAGGAGAGAACTCTCTGACCTGCATAAATCATTCGCCTTGGAGAAGTCAGAGTACGGGGCATTGGCCGTGGCGGTGATGGCTACAAATCTTGTTATGTCTCCACATACGAACTCCTTTCACTTGATCCAGTGCTCATACTTTTCATTAGTTCTGGTCCGCTTTCAATACATGTGAACTCTTTAAATTCAGGCCTTTTACCTGGCTCAGATCCAGTGGAACCATTTGTAGGCTGTTCATCAGAATGAAGTAACTGATGTGGCACTGTGTAATCAACATAGAAGTCATCTAAGTATCTTGGTGGGATGACCTGTCGACGTGGTCGAACCACTGGTGGCACTGACGTAGCCTGTCTTTCTGTTCTAGACATGGTAATGCTGTAGTAGCTGTCTGCTCCAGCTCGAAGGACCAAATTTTGTATGAAAGTTGAGGTGCGGATCTTAAACCGCTACAGATTGTTCAGGCAGAACAATCACATGGTCCATGTCCACAATAAAGTGGGTCTGGTGTGGTTCTAAAAATGAACAATAATAACAATAATGAATATAAACACAATGAATCAGAAACAGTAATAACTGAACAATATAAAAGTAATGCAATGGCATGAAGATAAAGACATATTATACAAGTCCAGCAGCTGTAAGTTTCCTTAGGTTTATACACATTCACTTTAAATAAATTATCAGATGAAACCGAATTGAAAGTTTCCACATAATAATCAAAAGGTAATATTCAAAGTCTAATTTAGCGTTTTATGCTGAAATGAATGTATGATCAAGCTTACATGTGCACGGACTACCTCAAAGGAACAAACAAACTTTTAGTACTACAACGTAATATAACCACAAATAAATCTACCAATATATACATGAAAGAGAATTTTACTACATACTTTTAAGATGTACGCACACAGTATTCCAGTTAGATTCAACAGCAGTTTGTTGGGCCAGTTGCTCCCCTCCAAGAGATATACAGCTTTGTTTGTAAAGGACACCATTGCAGATTTTGACACCATTACATCTGCGAGAGAAAGTCCAAACAAACAGTGAAGAATATAAACTTTGTGGCTTAAAGTGCATGTCTTGTAAAGATGATAAAGAGTATATGGTTCAGATCAGCCAATAGCTCACCTGTTCCCTCCTTAGTAACATTCACATTTACAAGAAATGCGTCTTGCATTTGGTCTTCAAATTTGGTGTTGAAAAACACTGACACATCAACAGTAAGAGAGGCACAGCCCGTGGCATTCATCTGGTAGGAGAACAAAAGACACAAGAAATTCAAGCACAGGCAAAAGGAAAATCCTCAGCAGTACGGCAGGAGTCACACACCTTTGAGGTTTGAGTCAGGCACTGTCTGGTCAAATTATGAAGCAGACTGTATGGAAATGGATCACGGCACACTTCCACTAAGGCTTGACCAGGTACAGGTTGGCCATATGTATATCTGGGAAACATCATAACAAGATAAAGAACTGACCAACCACAAGACAAGAAAATAAAGCATCACTCACTTGGCACAAGACTCAACTTTCAGTCCCATAACTGCAACGCTGTAGGTCTGCAGTGCGTTTACGGTCACGTCAAACTTGGGCAAAACTAAACCAGAAACAAAGTGCTTTAGATTAAGGCCTCAGATCTGTCATTGAACTTCCCTTACACAACAACTTACCGTATTTTTTCACCTCAAAGACTTGGGAGACTAGTGTTGGGACTCTTCACTCCATGGCTTCTCCATTCTTCTCCCTAGGCGGCGCCTAGGTCTTTGTGTCTGATGGACGGACGGTCGGACGGTCGGACGGACGGACGGACGGACGGACGGTCGGTCGGTCGCACGGACGGTCGGACGGTCGCACGGACGGACGGTCGCACGGACGGACGGACGGACGGTCGCACGGACGGACGCACGGACGGACGGACGGTCGCACGGACGGACGGACGCACGGACGGACGGTCGCACGGACGGACGGTCGCACGGACGGACGGACGGTCGCACGGACTTCCAACAGTCATATTAAAAGACCACATTCAGTAACAAAAGCTAGTATAGCCCATTACAACACAAGCCTACATTTTTTCATTTTATCTTTAAGTCATGTACCAATTTCTAGAGCAAGAATCAAACTAACAGACATACCGACACTGAAGTTGCGCAAAAAATTCAGGCCCTTGTACTTAAGACACTGGAGTAAACTGAAGTGGCATTCTAATCAGAAGTGCCACACACTGAAATATTCAGATTAAAAACCCAAACAAAAAACCTGATTGAGGCACTCAGACGTCTTCCTGGCTCCATGATCCGGACACTCTGATCTACAGCACTGACGCTACACAGAGATCCTGCTTGAGCAGAAACCATCAGAACGTTTCCCTCCGCAGGAACAGCCGTAGCTGGAGAAAACTGCAGAGACACCTGGAACAAGAACAAACACGCTGTAGGACACACACCAACATTCCCAAATTGAAAAATAGCCACATCATACAGTACCTGGTTCTGGAAACACATATCGGTGTCAAACGGAACACTAGCAGCAACTACATTCTCACTGGGAAGAACGCTGTAGACCAGAATCTGCACTGCTGGAGCCATAGCGACGCTGACAGACAACTGGAACGTCACAGAGCCACTTGTGACTGAATCACCAGCCTGTGCTTTAACCGTCTGAAATCCATGGAGGACGATCACTCCTTTGGATGAGACCTGACAGAAGACATGGGTGTGCAAGTTGCAGAACAAACAGACCAGCAAACTTACAAAACTAAGGTCCACTCACCATATAGATTGTCATCACTGTAGCTACCAGCCTCTCCAACAAATGAATACTCCACGGTCACTGGAAACGAAGCACCACATTTGAGCGGCTGATTGAGCTTCACTATAGTCAGTTCACTAAACAATGGGTTGTCGGGAGAAACAGGTAGGAGAAGCTGTACAAACCTTGTATCTGCAGTGAAGTATGGCGATTTAGAACCATTAAAAACCTCTGGTTTAGCACTCGCCTGGGGAAGATCAAACTTAATCAGCATCATGTTAGAGAAAGTCTTAATTTTTACAAAATACAAGTCGTACCACCAGATTCAGATCAGCCGTGTTTAGGGAGAACGCAGCCCGTCCATTCTTGTTTGTGGTTAGATTCAACAGCAGTTTGTTGGGCCAGTTGCTCCCCTCCAAGAGATATACTTTGTTTTGTAAAGGACACCATTGCAGATTTTGACACAATTACATCTGCAAGAGAAAGTCCAAACAAACAGTGAAGAATATCAACTTTGTGGCTTAAAGTGCATGTCTTGTAAAGATGATAAAGAGTACATGGTTCACATCAGCCAATAGCTCACCTGTTCCCTCCTCAGTAACATTCACATTTACAAGAAATGCGTCTTGCATTTGGTCTTCAAATTTGGTGTTGAAAAACACTGACACATCAACAGTAAGAGAGGCACAGCCCGTGGCATTCATCTGGTAGGAGAACAAAGACACAAGAAAGTCAAGCACAGGCAAAAGGAAAATCCTCAGCAGTACGGCAGGAGTCACACACCTTTGAGGTTTGAGTCAGGCATTGTCTGGTCAAATTATGAAGCAGACTGTAGGGAAATGGATCACGGCACACTTCCACTAAGGCTTGACCAGGTACAGGTTGGCCATATGTATATCTGGGAAACATCATAACAAGATAAAGAACCGACCAACCACAAGACAAGAAAATAAATCATCACTCACTTGGCACAAGACTCAACTTCCAGTCCCATAACTGCAACGCTGTAGGTCTGCAGTGCGTTTACGGTCACGTCAAACTTGGGCAAAACTAAACCAGAAACAAAGTGCTTTAGATTAAGGCCTCAGATCTGTCATTGAACTTCCCTTACACAAACAACTTACCGTATTTTTTCACCTCAAAGACTTGGGAGACTAGTGTTGGGACTCTTCACTCCATGGCTTCTCCATTCTTCTCCCTAGGCGGCGCCTAGGTCTTTGTGTCTGATGGACGGACGGTCGGACGGACGGACGGACGGACGCATGGACGGACGGTCGCACGGACGGACGGACGGACGGACGGTCGCACGGACGGACTGACGGACGGACGCACGGACGGACGGTCGCACGGACGGACGGTCGCACGGACTTCCAACAGTCATATTAAAAGACCACATTCAGTAACAAAAGCTAGTATAGCCCATTACAACACAAGCCTACATTTTTTCATTTTATCTTTAAGTCATGTACCAATTTCTAGAGCAAGAATCAAACTAACAGACATACCGACACTGAAGTTGCGCTAAAAATTCAGGCCCTTGTACTTAAGACACTGGAGTAAACTGAAGTGGCATTCTAATCAGAAGTGCCACACACTGAAATATTCAGATTAAAAACCCAAACAAAAAACCTGATTGAGGCACTCAGACGTCTTCCTGGCTCCATGATCCGGACACTCTGATCTACAGCACTGACGCTACACAGAGATCCTGCTTGAGCAGAAACCATCAGAACGTTTCCCTCCGCAGGAACAGCCGTAGCTGGAGAAAACTGCAGAGACACCTGGAACAAGAACAAACACGCTGTAGGACACACACCAACATTCCCAAATTGAAAAATAGCCACATCATACAGTACCTGGTTCTGGAAACACATATCGGTGTCAAACGGAACACTAGCAGCAACTACATTCTCACTGGGAAGAACACTGTAGACCAGAATCTGCACTGCTGGAGCCATAGCGACGCTGACAGACAACTGGAACGTCACAGAGCCACTTGTGACTGCATCACCAGCCTGTGCTTTAACCGTCTGAAATCCATGGAGGACGATCACTCCTTTGGATGAGACCTGACAGAAGACATGGGTGTGCAAGTTGCAGAACAAACAGACCAGCAAACTTAACTACAAAACTAATGTCCACTCACCATATAGATTGTCATCACTGTAGCTACCAGCCTCTGCAACAAATGAATACTCCACGGTCACTGGAAACGAAGCGACACATTTGAGCGGCTGATTGAGCTTCACTATAGTCAGTTCACTAAACAATGGGTTGTCGGGAGAAACAGGTAGGAGAAGCTGTACAAACCTTGTATCTGCAGTGAAGTATGGCGATTTAGAACCATTCAAAACCTCTGGTTTAGCACTCGGCTGGGGAAGATCAAACTTAATCAGCATCATGTTAGAGAAAGTCTTAATTTTTACAAAATACAAGTCGTACCACCAGATTCAGATCAGCCGTGTTTAGGGAGAACGCAGCCCGTCCATTCTTGTTTGTGGTTAGATTCAACAGCAGTTTGTTGGGCCAGTTGCTCCCCTCCAAGAAATATACTTTGTTTTGCAAAGGACACCATTGCAGATTTTGACACAATTACATCTGCGAGAGAAAGTCCAAACAAACAGTGAAGAATATCAACTTTGTGGCTTAAAGTGCATGTCTTGTAAAGATGATAAAGAGTACATGGTTCACATCAGCCAATAGCTCACCTGTTCCCTCCTCAGTAACATTCACATTTACAAGAAATGCGTCTTGCATTTGGTCTTCAAATGTGATGTTGAAAAACACTGACGCATCAACAGTAAGAGAGGCACAGCCCGTGGCATTCATCTGGTAGGAGAACAAAGACACAAGAAAGTCAAGCACAGGCAAAAGGAAAATCCTCAGCAGTACGGCAGGAGTCACTCACCTTTGAGGTTTGAGTCAGGCACTGTCTGGTCAAATTATGAAGCAGACTGTATGGAAATGGATCACGGCACACTTCCACTAAGGCTTGACCAGGTACAGGTTGGCCATATGTATATCTGGGAAACATCATAACAAGATAAAGAACCGACCAACCACAAGACAAGAAAATAAAGCATCACTCACTTGGCACAAGACTCAACTTCCAGTCCCATAACTGCAACGCTGTAGGTCTGCGGTGTGTTTACGGTCACGTCAAACTTGGGCAAAACTAAACCAGAAACAAAGTGCTTTAGCTTAAGGCCTCAGATCTGTCATTGAACTTCCCTTACACAAACAACTTACCGTATTTTTTCACCTCAAAAGACTTGGGAGACTAGTGTTGGGACTCTTCACGCCATGGCTTCTCCATTCTTCTCCCTAGGTGGCGCCTAGGTCTTTGTGTCTGATGGACGAGGGTCGCACGGACGGACGGTCGGTCGCACGGACGGACGGACGGACGGTCGCACGGACGGACGGACGGACGGTCGCACGGACGGACGGACGGTCGCACGGACGGACGGACGGACGGTCGCACGGACGGACGGACGGACGGTCGCACGGACGGACGGACGGACGGTCGCACGGACGGACGGACGGACGGTCGCACGGACGGACTTCCAACAGTCATATTAAAAGACCACATTCAGTAACAAAAGCTAGTATAGCCCATTACAACACAAGCCTACATTTTTTCATTTTATCTTTAAGTCATGTACCAATTTCTAGAGCAAGAATCAAACTAACAGACATACCGACACTGAAGTTGCGATAAAAATTCAGGCCCTTGTACTTAAGACACTGGAGTAAACTGAAGTGGCATTCTAATCAGAAGTGCCACACACTGAAATATTCAGATTAAAAACCCAAACAAAAAACCTGATTGAGGCACTCAGACGTCTTCCTGGCTCCATGATCCGGACACTCTGATCTACAGCACTGACGCTACACAGAGATCCTGCTTGAGCAGAAACCATCAGAACGTTTCCCTCCGCAGGAACAGCCGTAGCTGGAGAAAACTGCAGAGACACCTGGAACAAGGACCAACACGCTGTAGGACACACACCAACATTCCCAAATTGAAAAATAGCCACATCATACAGTACCTGGTTCTGGAAACACATATCGGTGTCAAACGGAACACTAGCAGCAACTACATTCTCACTGGGAAGAACGCTGTAGACCAGAATCTGCACTGCTGGAGCCATAGCGACGCTGACAGACAACTGGAACGTCACAGAGCCACTTGTGACTGCATCACCAGCCTGTGCTTTAACCGTCTGAAATCCATGGAGGACGATCACTCCTTTGGATGAGACCTGACAGAAGACATGGGTGTGCAAGTTGCAGAACAAACAGACCAGCAAACTTAACTACAAAATTAATGTCCACTCACCATATAGATTATGTCATCACTGTAGCTACAAGCCTCTCCAACAAATGAATAGTCCACGGTCACTGGAAACGAAGCACCACATTTGAGCGGCTGATTGAGCTTCACTATAGTCAGTTCACTAAACAATGGGTTGTCGGGAGAAACAGGTAGGAGAAGCTGTACAAACCTTGTATCTGCAGTGAAGTATGGCGATTTAGAACCATTCAAAACCTCTGGTTTAGCACTCGCCTGGGGAAGATCAAACTTAATCAGCATCATGTTAGAGAAAGTCTTAATTTTTACAAAATACAAGTCGTACCACCAGATTCAGATCAGCCTTAAGATTAGCCATGTTTAGGGAGAACGCAGCCCGTCCATTCTTGTTTGTGGTTAGATTCAACAGCAGTTTGTTGGGCCAGTTGCTCCCCTCCAAGAGATTGTTTTGTAAAGGACACCATTGCAGATTGACACAATTACATCTGCAAGAGAAAGTCCAAACAAACAGTGAAGAATATCAACTTTGTGACTTAAAGTGCATGTCTTGTAAAGATGATAAAGAGTACATGGTTCACATCAGCCAATATCTCACCTGTTCCCTCCTCAGTAACATTCACATTTACAAGAAATGTGTCTTGCATTTGGTCTTCAAATTTGGTGTTGAAAAACACTGACGCATCAACAGTAAGAGAGGCACAGCCCGTGGCATTCATCTGGTAGGAGAACAAAGACACAAGAAAGTCAAGCACAGGCAAAAGGAAAATCCTCAGCAGTACAGCAGGAGTCACACACCTTTGCGGTTTGAGTCAGGCACTGTCTGGTCAAATTATGAAGCAGACTGTATGGAAATGGATCACGGCACACTTCCACTAAGGCTTGACCAGGTACAGGTTGGCCATATGTATATCTGGGAAACATCATAACAAGATAAAGAACTGACCAACCACAAGACAAGAAAATAAAGCATCACTCACTTGGCACAAGACTCAACTTTCAGTCCCATAACTGCAACACTGTAGGTCTGCGGTGCGTTTACGGTCACGTCAAACTTGGGCAAAACTAAACCAGAAACAAAGCGCTTTAGATTAAGGCCTCAGATCTGTCATTGAACTGCCCTCACACAAACAACTTACCGTATTTTTTCACCTCAAAAACTTGGGGGACTAACGTTGGGACTCTTCACTCCATGGTTACTCCATTCTGCGACGCCACGGCCTGGTTGCGGTCGCCTAGGCCTTTGTGTGTCACTGCCTCATCGCTTCTCTGGCTACGTGGTGTGCTCCACCTCCATCATCTCCGGTAATCCCCTTGGTAATGTTGGGACTCTTCACTCCATGGCTACTCCATTCTGCGACGCCGCCGTGGAATGCAGTCCTGACTGTGGGCTGGGTCTCCGTCGGCTTTTCCCTGCTCAAGACCATCCCCCCCGGCTGTCACCACCATCTGCACCACCTTTCCTCCAGCTACGGACGGCCGGCCGCCGTGTGATGCAGTCCTGACTGTGGGCTGGGTGTCCATCTGCTCTTCCCTGCTTAAGGCCTCGGACGGACGCTTGGACGGACGGACGCTCGGACGGACGGACGGACGGACGGACGCTCGAACGGACACTTGGACGAACGCTTGGACGGACGGACGCTCGAACGGACGGACGCTCGGACGGACGGGCGCTCGGACGGACGGACGCTCGGACGAACGGACGCTCGGACGAACGGACGCTCGGACGCTCGGACGAACGCTTGGACGGACGGACGCTCGGACGAACGCTTGGACGGACGGACGGACGGACGCTCGGACGAACGCTTGGACGGACGGACGGACGGACGCTCGGACGAAACGCTTGCTTGGACGGACGGACGCTCGGACGAAACGCTTGCTTGGGCGGACGGACGCTTGGACGGGCGGACGGACGCTTGGACGGGCGGACGGACGCTTGGACGGGCGGACGGACGCTTGGACGGACGGACGCTTGGACGGCCGGACGCTTGGACGGACGGACGCTTGGACGGACGGACGGACGCTTGGACGGACGCTCGCTTGGACGGGCGGACGCTTGGACGGACGGGCGGACGCTTGGACGGGCGGACGCTTGGACGGGCGGACGCTTGGACGGACGGGCGGACGCTTGGACGGGCGGACGCTTGGACGGGCGGACGCTTGGACGAACGGGACGACTGATTTACTTCCGCCCATCACATTAAAAGATCACATTCAGTAACAAAAGTAAGTATAGACCATTACAACAAAAGACTACATTTTATTCAACAGCTTGCAGTTTCCACGTCCCTTAGACTAGTTAGGGACATTGAAACTGCAAGCCATTGGATAAAAATACTAGCACCCGCAGGCATCCGTACAGAAGGAATGCGGCTTAGCTGGAGGACAATAAAAAGCCGAAGAGAACCATGCAAAAGGTTGGTGCAGATGGTGGTGACAGCCAGGGGGATGGCCTTGAGCAGGGAAGGGCAGACGGAGACCCAGCCCACAGTCAGGACTGCATCCCACGGCGGCGTCGCAGAATGGAGTAGCCATGGATTGAAGAGTCCCAACACTACCAAGGGGATTACCGGAGATGATGGAGGTGGAGCACACCACGTAGCCAGAGAAGCGATGAGGCAGTGAGACACAAAGACCTAGGCGACCGCGACTAGGCCACAGCGCCGACCCCCTGAAGTGGAAGCAGCGATCCTGAGGTTAGAGGCTGAGCTGCAGCAACCATAGATGGAGGTGGAAACTGAGGGAGGGCGGAGCTAGTCAAAGGCAAAAGAAGTGGAGAGCCGTAGGGCAGCGAATGGGCCGCAAGCCGATGACGAAGAAGATGTAATGTCCAACAGAGGGAGGCCGAATGGCTGATGGTCCAGGCTGGAATCAAGGGTGATTAGAGAGCACAGCTACATTCTCACTGGGAAGAACGCTGTAGACCAGAATCTGCACTGCTGGAGCCATATCGACAAACGAGTCACGGATATCTGTTAGGAATGATCAAGATTAGGAAAGGGGAAACAAAAAAAAAACACACATGACCATCCCTTCGATCACTGGATAGCAAAACAAACCAAGAGTAGTAATGGTGTTAAAAGGAAAGCTTCAATGGTTCACAAAGCTTATTTTCACCATCTATAAAGTTAGTAAACAACTTCAACATAAAAACAGAACGCTTCTGTTCACTTCACCTAATGGTACTTACCTGGTTCTTCAAGCCCATCAACAACAAAGAGAAAAAGGGTGAAAATGAGCTTCTTCCAAACACAAATCTCCCTCATGAGGACAGATCACCCAAGACTAACCCTTATCAAGCCACTCTTCAGACTCTAATATATCAGGAACGCATTCATCTCGTTAATTCAATTAATTAATCACCACCTGGCAGTAGCCTAATTAATGTTATCATTTGATTAGGAGTTCCAACTGGCATTGATTTGAAACACAACACATTATGGAGGTTAGCGGACGAATTTTCTAGTTGACATATCAACACTATAGAATTTTAAAAACATATAGCCATTTATTGAAGATATTACTGAACATTTAACCATAGCAAAAGTAAGTTTCTTATGTTCATTTTGAACAAGTCTAATATTATTTTATCGTATATCTGTTGAGATTGTTATTGAATGCTGGTGTGACAGCAGAAGACAGACTAGCCGGGGTTTAAATCCTATATTTAAGAGAACTTTGTCCTAGTTGTGCAGGCGGGGCGTGTACAACATGCCCCGCCTGCACAACTAGGACAAAGTTCTCTTAAATGATTTAAACCCCGGCTAGTCTCCTTGTTTTGATAGATTGTTTACTACTTGTATGTCTTGACTTGTTCTGTTTATTAACATTGCATTAATAATAAAAAAAATAATTTTAAGTTCTGTTGCTTTTATATGAAAATAAATATAACGAACAAGACACACAAAATACTTGTTATTTAATTACATTCCAAATGTGTTTATCAATATTTTTTTCTTTCATACAGACATGTGTTTTTATTGTTTTAATAAAAATATCATGTGCATAAAAATATCAAATGTGACATCGCATAATAACCCATATGGCACTGTCAGAGAGTTTATTCACCCATAACAAATATGTATACACATAAAACATGATATCAGAGTTTTAAAATCAAACATGTTAAAAGAGAAAAATACATCACGGTTGTTTAAACAAATGAGAATTAAGCTGTGTCGTCAGCAAGTCGTTTCCCATCATGCTTTTGATCAGCGCAGTCGGTGGAGAGCAACTGCGCGCGACTGCAGAATCCGACAGGCGCGCCTTGCGCTCGCGAGAGTTTTTTGACATACGTCGACATGACATCAGAGCCAGGCGGACCGTTCTCGGACACATTTCTAACCGGCATGCATCTCGCTCTGATCACCGGTGATCGGTTCTGCGCAGATTTTGCTCATCTCAAACAAGCCTATATGAGAGTGATTTGCGCGTAAAGAGACCTTCCCGAAAACTCTTCTCATTATTTACAAATACATCGTAACCTCAGATGTCATAATGAAATGTGTGTGTTAATGAATTCCAACCTGTCGTTAATGGGATGCGCGTGCACGTTCATTCTCAATTAGCTACCATAAATCACAAATCCATCATATCCGACTGACATCTATATGTAGGCATATAATAACATGAATGCGAATTTTATTTGATTAACTTCATTGTCCGTTCAGATGCACTGGACAGAAATTCATCTTTGACACTGGCACAACAACCACGTTACAAACCACAAAAAATAAATAATTAACATACTCTTATGTGGATAGCAGATGAACCCAATTGCCGACAGTATGCAAACACACAACGTTTATTGATAACAGAAAACTGGGAAAACAAAACCCACGAGGGAGAAAACAACACTGGTAGGGAAAATAAAGACTAATAAAACTTTGACATTAAATACAGGAACAAAACAGGATTTTTACAAGAGCACAACTTCGTTAAGACAATCCTCACAAGGTATAGACATGGCACGTGGCACAGGACAGCAAACACAAGGGGATCAAATAGGGAGAAACATACATTGGCAGCAGGTGACATAGATGAAGCAATGATGACAAAACGAGGGTAACAAGCACAAGGGGGTGGGGCCAGAGAACTAGACACCGCAAACACACACAGCCCAAACACAAGGCCATGTGCCTGCACACAAAACAAGGATCTGTCATGATCCTGCCTCAAGAGTAGGACAAGAGGGCAGAATCATGACACATACATAAGTTAAATTAATACAGTATGTGCAAATTCACACACCTCAATTGAGAATTGAGTTTAAAACAGTCACCGCCGAAAATGATCTCTTATAAATATTCCTCTTGGCGAGCGGTATCCGTAGCTTGCGCCCCGAAGGAAGGATCTTGAAGCAGGAATGGAGGGGATCAGTCTGGTCTGAATATATTGATAATACCATTTTCTCAACAAAAAAAATTGTGAATAGCTCTTGTTATGTGCTCTGTTTTTGGCCGATGATCTTATTTGCTTGATTACTCGTGTTAGTTTATTCTTCTGTTTCAATAGCCACTGTTTCACTGTATACCATGAAACAATATTATAAGTTAAAACATTTTCAATCATTGATCTATAAACAATGGTTAAGAGCCTCCTTTCAATGTCAAAATTTCTTAACTTCCTAAGTAGACTTAAACACTGTCTAGTTATGTAGCCCATAAAATCCAAAGGGAAAGTTTATCATCAATGATTGTACGACGATATTTTGCTCTATCTTTATGCCTTTTAACATTATTACAATATATTCCTATTTAACACAGATGTCATTTGCTAATTACAGAAACTACTGTATAAGCTCAATTCACAAGTATAAATACATATTTAGAACATGTATATATATATATATACAGTATATATATATATATATATATATATATATATATATGGTCCTCGAATGTGTTCTTCACCATTATCAGCCTTTTCACTGTTTGTATCACTCCGCTTGTCTGTGTTTGCCCAACTTGCATCATTAAGGCAGTAGGTGGTGAAAAGTGACTGTCTTTAGGAGTGCACAATTGAACTTTAACTTAACAGATTATGCCAAAAAAATATTGATTAGCTAACCTTAGAAAGAAACAAGTTGCTGCAATCTTTAATGCTAATATATAAAT